CAGCAGCAGCAGCAGCAGCAGCAGCAGTAGCAGTAGCAGTAGCAGTAGCAGCAACAGCAGCAGTAGCAGTAGCAGCAACAACAGCAGCAGCAGTTACAGAACCCCAAACAGTAGCAGCCAATGCTTGGCATGTTGCACTCTAACTATTAACTTGCTAGGCACGCCCAGGCATGCTCACATACGCTGATCACGACTCATTTTATGTAAAGACTACAAAATTAAAACTAATGAACTATCTCATGCTGCAATATTAACCTTATGTTTGACAATTTAATTGCAGAGTGCCTTTCAGAGTATTATATCATCTCACGCTCAGAATATATGATACGACATTGCTCCACGACCCCCCCCACCCACCACACTCACATCACGTAAACCCTAGTCGCTCTGTGAGTCTGTCGTTCAGCTGGTGGAAGCGAGTCATCAGCGAAGGTCGGTGGATCAAGGTCGAGGATGTCTCCTCGTCCTCCGTCTCGCGCGCCTCGCTCACGCCCTCTATCACAAAGTACGACTCGATGTTGCCACGACACATCGGACATTTGTCCAGGTGGCGGAAGCAGGAGTGGCAGGCGCAGGCGTGTCGGCATGGCAACAGCGTGTGAGTGACGGCCGCCTGCTGGCAGACAACACACGTCCCGCCGCCGACGTCATCGTAGTCCGTTGCCGTGGACGACGGTTCGTTCGACATGTACATTTGCTGAAGGAGAGTGGAGGGTAGGTGTAGTGAGGGTGGTGGTGGATGTAGTAACAGTCTAAGTGAGAATCAACGCAGGTGAGGTGATGTGGGAGGTCATACATCATCTTTTGTAAATAGATTACCAATGAAGAAATACTGGTGAAGTGAGGAATACTTCGCATATAAGCATTAGATCATCAGCAATATTTGCTAAATTGTTAAATCAAAATGAGCAATTTGTGAATTATGAGCTATTTGCATTATTGAGTTTCTGCACAACCAAAATGCAAGTAAAACAAAACAATGCATTAAGACATCATACATACTAAACTCTAAAACTACATAAATACATAAAACTACTTCATAAAACCCACCCTCTTTTACACGCTCACCTATAACCATTCATTAAAACACCTGCATTGACTTTAATACACTAGATTGGCCATCTAAAACACATTCCTAGATGTGCAAATAATCTACATGAATACTTTATCATGACTGTGAGAAAGCAGGAATACTAGGTTAGACTTCACAACTAGCAAATCAGAGCTAGCACGTTTGGTGGGAATATAGAACCAGCTGTGATCGCTGACTACGATTCTTACCTGCAAGGTACACACTTGTCCGCTGGCCGTCTTAACAAACTGTGAGAAGACACAACTCTGTTCAGGATACGTTGAATCTTTTACATGAATGACAGCCACATACGCCATCTAGAAAATAATGACGTGTCATTCATTATCACACACATGCATGCACGGTTATTTATTATATTTGCTTTCACTGTATTTATTTATTTACTTATTGAGCATGTCTGTTTTATAGAGATAGTTTCCCAGTTTAACTGCCTTTCAAGGAAACACCAAGTGTCGCTTATAGACAGGCACCTGCTCTTTTGAAGCAACAACTAATGCAGCTTTGACTGTACTCACAATCTTATGAGGCTGATGCTGGAGTTCCTCGGCGGCAGTCTCAGATACCGTGACGACGACGACCACCAGGGGATATCGACTCCGTGGCCGAGATGTCTCAGTCTCCCACTCAGCAGTAGCGTGACTCGGTGGTTTAAACGTCAGGCACTGCTCCTGCCCTTCATCTAACCTGCCGAGTGCAAGGTCCCACAGCCGTAAACACACAGGCAAGCCGGAAAGAGAAGAGGTGAAATTGATGCAATGTGTAGAGAGACGAAAATATCTGTTTTACTCTTGGCTGCAACAGCTTGTTATTCATACATAATCCCTAGTACTTTTAAAGCTATCTAGAATTTGATGTGGATTGTAAAGAAGTACACACTTCATGTATTAAGACTGGACACATGAAAACGTTCACTTATACACGGTAACACACATGCTCACACAAACACTCATGCATGTCGACAGCATTTACAAATTATTACGAAAATATAAGACTTTCCTACAAACAATCTATGTCGTCTGGTTGGTTGGTTTACCCACCATACTCTCTCACTGGAGCATTTAGAGGAGTTCGCAAACAACTCATGTGATTCTACTCTCGCTTCAAAGGTTTGCCATTGGGAATAGAGCTGATGGTAGAATGGATGTACAAGCACGCCCCAGTACGCTTGAATATGACATTTCTCCATGCAGGATAACTTCAACTTTACACCTACGATAAAAATAAACATCCGATGATATTCTGCAGTTGATGCACTATTGCGATGTCTGTCTAACAGACAGTCTAGATACAACATAAGAGGCTGTTAAAGATAACAAACAACCAGAGTGGTTAGTCTACTAGCGCCACCTTTGGGATAGTATAGAAATTATGGTAGAACTCCAAAAACCCGGACCACCCGAAAACCCTAACTTTTCGAAAACTTTATATGTTCATTTTTAAACATGATTTCAAGCATTACACGTTCTTTTTTGTAGTAAAATTTGTTAATGTTTACATATTTGTCAAGTATTGACTTTAGTTTTCTTTAAAACTGCTCGTTTTAATAAATGAAGCAGGCTAATGAATAAACTATCAAAATTTACATGTCCATCTCTTCTTTATTCCTCCTTAAATTTGAATTTTAAAAGTACTGCCCGAGAATCCCGAAATAATAGAAAATCCGGACCAACCCAATCCCTGCACAGTCTGGATTTTCGGACTTCTACTGTATTAGAGATCTATATGAAAAGGTGGTGTTCAGGGGGCCATTGTCAGAAACATCGTAAAGTTAATGCTAATGTTAATGCTAAGATCACACTTACGACTAATGCTAATGAACATTGCAAGACTAGCGTTGACAGAAACACAACGCAGCTATTAGAAAACGTACGATAACAGGAACTTCATCACAAGGCTGCTGATTGGATGAGAATCGATCACAAAATTCAAATTCATACACATTTATTGTACATCACAGTAATTTATGCATATTATGATGGCTAACCACATATAAATAATATTTGATAAAAAATGACGCAGTCATGAATTTATTCTGCACAACAAGACAAATTCTCACACTGTAACATGAGACGTGAGAGTCGTGGCAAGTAGCATTCATTTAAAACAAGAGAACAAATGCCATACGCCATTTGTAAACGTTTTGTTTTGTTTTATGATTGGTAGATAATTAATGTTTTTGATGTGTTTCACTATAATTGTAATTCGTAGTGTAAATGTGTTATTTTCATCTTAATATTAAAGTTACGAGAGGGTGTGGGCTCTCGTAATGTTAAGAGGATATTTTCGAGGATTTTTCATTCTCGTAACTTTGCGATGTTTCTCTCAACGGTTTACAAGTGGAAGTTAATGTTAAGACTAACTAATTTTGTTTCTGACAACGGGCCCCTGACTTTTTCTATGTTGTGCAATGTATGAGCAGTGGTCAGACAGGAACTATAGCACATTTTGGCAGGCTTGCACAGTTGCCATCGTCACAAAGAAGGTTCTAGTACGTGTATTAATTGTGCCTGTGCAGTACCGAATATTACCAGTTGGTATATTTTAGATAGGTGTTGTGGTTTTTTATAAGTCATAATTGGTGCAAAGGCTGTAAAGGAATGATACACACGGATTTTAGCAGTTCAACGTCTTCACTGTTAAAAACGCGGGCCAGACTGTCTGTAGTTTCCCACCAGAGAGAATTAACACACGTGCAATACTTAATGCTATTAAGCGACCCCCTCACCGCTTGTCCACGTTGTATTTTCAGGATCCTGGAGAGAGAGTACGAACGGATTATGGATGCCCATCACTTGAATTGGCTGAGCTTCTGTCATGTGATGAATCGGAGAGGTATTGTGAAAACGATCAAAACCATTCATCCTGTAGAAAGTGCAAGTAATCAATGTGAAACAGGCTGCAGCAAAATGTAAGATGTAAATTCATAATGAAGAGTAGCAACCATGAAGTTTATCAAAGAATCTTTTTCAAATACGTACTTAAAACATTAATGATTACTTTTGCTATAACTTGATGTGTGTTTGTGCATATTACATCAATACATGATCCATGCATGATCCATGCATACATGCGTGTGAGCACACGTGCGTGCATGCGTGTGCGCGCGCGTGTCTGCGTGCATGCGTGTGAGCGCGCGTGCGTGTGTGCGCGCGTATGTGCGTGCCAAGGGCGCGTAAGCAGTTCAATATTTGTAAAATGTGATAGTGTGTATTAAGTGCAATGCCAGGGGTCGAAATTAGTGGTATCCCAATATCCGCGCGATAGTAGATTCTTGTGTTGGATACCAGATTTCAATGCTTGGTATCCCGCCGGGATAGTAAAAAATAATTGTCAAAATCGGGATAGTGGTTGTCGAGTTATCAACTTTATATGGCAGCGCATCGAGTGCGCGCGATCTGAGCGGGATCAGGCACCCTTACTTTGCCACACTAGCGTTATACAGCAGGCATAGCATATTTGCAAGCGCAAGCGTAAGCGTGGCCGATGTTGATAATAAATGTGATGTGTATACATTGTATCAAGCGAACCAGACAATGCGTCTAAACAATACGTCTGCAGTGTACTTGTCTGTGCATATCTGTGAATCTGTTTTCATGTTTTTATATAATAATTACGGTACATTACATACCGTATTAATAATTTTCAAATGCTATTATTGCATATTTCAAGATTTTGGCTACCAACATTGTTGAAATTACTATCCAAAAAATGGGATACCAGATCTTTGGGAGGGGGGGTACCAAATTTCCCGAATCTGGGGGTAACCAAATTTACCGGTATCCCGAATCGAATGGATACCTAGCTCTAGTACTATATAGCCCGCGTACAGTTGCCACTGGTGGCAACTGTACGCGGGCTATAGTACTAGAGCTGGTGCAAATCCACTTTAGGCATCTTAGGTATCACGAAGTGATGCACAGATTTCTGTGTATCATCAACTGATGCACAGATTTCTGTGTATCATCAACTGATGAACAGACTTTCCGTATATCAAGGAATGATGCAAAAACCCTAACCCTAACCCTAACCTTAGCACACTGATATACGGAAAGTCTGTGCATCAGTTGACGATACACAGAAATCTGTGCATCACTTCGCGATACCTAAGGATAAGGTGCCTAAAAGTGGATTTGCGCCCTGGCCCCTAGAGCTAATGCAGTAATGGATACCATAATAAAAACAATTTCGACCCCTGAATGCTGCAGCAATGGCTCAGCCAGTACGTCACATACAATAAATTCCTTCTACGTAATCGTTTACCTTATGATAAAGATTGCCATGCACAAGAAACAAATAAGAATCACTAGCACAGATAAAGAATTAGAAACATCGGCTAGGAAATGTAGAATGTTTACATTTCCGTCCACCATCTTCGATGGGCTATTGAGCTCATTTCCGGTATTGGGTCACTAAAGCAAAAGGTCACTGAACGGCGAATGTTGTACCGTAAATATCAAATATATTTTACTGATGATTTATTTGGTTGATGCTCATGGACTGATGTACATACATACAGCCTTTTGCACACAGAGATTCACATCAAAGTAACTTGGATAACATAACTTTAATTACCTGTGACATCTTAGAAAAGTCAACGCTTCTGACTAATGTATTTATAAAACGGAAATTTTTGAGATACAAAAAATGTTTACGGTATACGGAACTACGTGGCGCTTGTGTCGACACGTGATTCCACGTCGCCAGTGACATCATCACGTCATTTGGGGTGTACCCCTGCCCGTTGGATTGAGTCATACAGCAGGAGGAAGCCATCTTGAAATTACATACGCCTTGTTTCCATTCACTTCATACGATAGAAGCGTATTTATAAGAGACTATTTTCATTACTGGTTGTCTAACTTACTACACACAAGACATAGGTGATTGGGAATTGACATGACAACAATGAATCCCGAATAGTAAGTTGTCTGTGTATGAAAACGTTATATTTATTGGAAGGTACATTCATGACGATCTGGTGTAATTTCTTATTTTTGTATCTGCGTATATGTCAATTCTAACTGGATCTTTGCCATTCTATAACTTTTATTGGTATGACAGCTGAAGTTTTCGCGGTGTTTAGTAAATTAGATTACTGCTTGTCACTGTCGTCGCTGTTTTAATGTGTGGGGTGCAAAACAGGTGTCACGTCTAGGAATTTGAAGGAAGGAGATGAGTGTGAGAGTGTTGCAACTTAAGTTATTGATTATACTACTACTAGTACTACTAGTACTACTAGTTATAGAAGTTTACGAAACCACATTGACTTCAGTCGTCACCTAACCTCTGTCTGACATTATGTCTAGGGGTACCAATATACAGTTGATGAAAATTGGTGCTGTAGTACGTACGCGTACCTCATAGGATTCTTATCGTGAACATTTGGGTTATTCAAACACCAAATTATCATTGGCACCCAGACATGCAGGCAACTTTTCAATCCAAATGGCTTATTTAGATAATATTTGGTGTCTGTTACTTGTGTATCTCGTAAGTGAAAACATCCGAAAATGGGCAGTCTATCACACTGTCACGAGTATTAAGTACCGGTACTAACTTGGGTTTCTATGCACGAACAATGTTGTGACTGGTATATGTAGTTTTGCAAAATTATTATGCCAGTACATGTGATTAGATACAATGATTTGAGACTGCATCCAGTGGAAGTGATGCAAGTGAAGTGTAACTGAAATGATATGGAAGATGGCCAAATATGGAGCATTGGCCGCGCATAGAAAAGAAGTGCGCGCGGCAGAGGGAAAAGAAAAGATAACATGGTGGATCCGTGCGCCATAATGCAAGCCAGCGCACGGATCCAAAGAAAAGACTAGGTGACAGCAGGGGAAAAAATACACGGGGGCGGCGGGCGATTTCGCCCCCGAAATGGCAAAAAGAGCCCCCGAAAACATGATATCGGGGGCGACCCCAAAAGAAAAAGTCGCCCTGGAAATCGATTGTCCAGGTCGGTCCCGCCCCTTCCCGCTCTTGCTCGGCGTTGCTGCGAGGCCTCTGCCGCTACCGACAGCCGGTTCCACGGCGCGGTAGAATTCATGGTAGACTGTCAGGTGTTTACCATTTAAGCATGCATGTGTGCACTGTGTAGTGTGTACTGTACTGCATTGCATTCAATCAAGAGTAGATAATAACACACAGATGTGTTACTACTCTTGATTCAATCAAGCGCGCTGCCGCCCGCGCGTATATACGTGTGTGCCTGTGCGCGTGTGTGCCTGCGCGCGTGCGTGCGTGCATGCCTGTGTGTGCCGGTGTGCTTGCGTGTGTGACTGCGCGCGTGCATGTGTGCGCGTGCCTGCGCGCTTGCGTGCTTGCATGCGTGCGTGCGTGTGTGCGGGTGTGCCTGCGGGCTTGCCTACGTAGACCCGTAGGACCAACGACCCGTAGGATTATAGAACGGTAATCCATGGAAAATCCTAATAAAATTCATACGTATATTTTTCCTTGCCGGCACACTCGTGTGTCATTCCCGCTTGTAGCTTTTTCCAAATCTTCCAAAGCTTTTTCCAAAGCTTTTTCCAAATTTTTTCGAAAGCTTTTTCGTCAATTCCCCGAAAGAGTTTTGCTATCGCTCTCTCATAGTTCAGCAATGCCAACCCTCTACATTTTAGTAGTGATTAGTACCACGCTGAAACAATTCGTGCGCTCCCCCAGCCCCCCCCGTACTTTCAATCAATGCCGAGCCCGCTGCCAGCAGGCAGCGCACGCAGCGTCGATGTGCAAAGCCATACACACGTTGTCCTCGCGGCCGGCTTTCTTCAAACAGCCTGAGCTCCACGCCCCGTACCAGGGCCCTGGGACGACCTAGCAGCAAGAGGACTTCGCGTATAAACAATAGATCGGCTTCTCGCTCGTCAGCAGATCCACCTTGAATATTTGCGCTAGCCGTAATACAACGTTTCATGTGCGTGCAGCCGTATGTACTACAATTTAGAAACGTCAGTTAATGATGCGCGTAAGGACGCTCGTTGTTCCGAGCGGGACGCTCCGAGCAGCCATGACCTGATGGAGGTGTAAACGCCAATGTAAGGCACCCGCGAAGGCCAAAAACAATGTAAATCGGCCCTC